AGGCATTTTTAGACGCCCAGTGGTGCGCACAGCTGGAGACAAAGAACAAGACCTTCCAGGAAATGCTGCGGCAGATCGGAGCTCAGATCCAGCAGAAGGTAAAGGAATCATCTGGGGATGGAGCCAATGCTGAATGACGATTTCTATGCATGGCTGATCTGCTCGCTGCCGCTTTGTAGACAGTGCAGTCGTCCTCCACTGATGCCCGAGTCCAGCAGATGTTTAACCTCCTCCTGGACGCCTCCTCGCAGCCTTCTGACCAGCAGAAGGTGAGCCCCTTCCCTCCCCTCCCCCCACTACAGCCTCCTGCACTTGGGTGTCCTCCTCATACAGAGTGCTCCTGTGTCTCCCTTCTCCACGCACCAGGCTGCCCAGAACCTGGTGGTGCTGTCCCGGGAGGAGGCCGGAGCAGAGCAGATTTTCCGGAATGATGGCGTGAAGCTCCTGCAAAAGCTGCTGGAATTCAAGCAGGAGGATGTGGTGCTGTCCGCACTCAGGAGCCTTGTGGGCCTCTGTACTGGACACCAGTCCAGGGTGGGCGTCCGTCCGTCCATCCTCTCTCCCGGGAAGCTGCCTTCCTGCAGACTCTCACCGACCTGATCTCACTTCTGTCCCGCAGACTATGGCCATCGTCAATGAGATGGGGATGGAGAAGCTGTGCTCCATCATGGGCTCCGAGAGCGAGTCCGTGTCCCTGGCCGCTTGTCACCTCCTGCAGGTCATGTTCGAGGCCTTGACCCAGGGCATGAAGAAGGACGTCAGGGGCAAAGATGCAGCCATCTTGCCAGGTGAGAAAATCATCATTGCTGCATACGAATTCCTGGAGCACCAAAAGTGCAGAATCCTTCATGATCAGAATTTTAATATTTATTTCTGCTGGGTCCGAGGCCACTGCGGTGTCGGGTAATGAACAGGGGGACGGGGCGGCCAAGGAGACACGGTTTTTGCTTTCTTAGATGATATATAACAGATTTGGCATGGCTTAAAAATTCAGTTAACAAACTAACCAAAAGTACAACATTGAAGACACGTTTTCACATGAAGCTTCGTCAGCTAAGGCCTTATTTTAAAAGAATTTTCTCCCTGCTAACTGTGTTTTACTACTCAGCATCTACTGAGCTGTAAAATGGTTTCACCAGTGAACGGCTTCATTAATCACCTTCTCTGCATGAAATACTTACTCTCTATGATGTTAGAGGTTCATTAAAACATTTAGCCTGTTAAGGACTTTTTATAATAAAGATATGTTTGCTAAACATGACTTAACTGAAACGTTTAAAAAAGTTCCATAAACGTATTAGATTTACCGGTATTGTTTTAACATGTCTTACGTAACGTGCATGCACGTTGTTAGCACTCAGTCGCATGATTGTACTCCATGTTGAAGGCGGCTCCCCATAAATTTGCAGATTTTCTCCTGAGTGTGTTGTTTACTCTAACACTGCATTCATAAAAGCTACACTGACACAAGCCTTAAACATAAACCCAGCCGTCTTAACGCCACACCTGAGCACTGGACAAATTTCAGAGGGAAAAATAAGCCGGTTTGTGATACATAAGCTATCGCTAATTGTAAAATAAATTTTTAGCAAACATTAAGCTCATATCAGTTAAAATACACAATCTGTCACGTTGCCATCAGTGCCGCACGTCATGCTGATTAAAGCATATTTAACGACATATTGCTTAACGCTAAAACAATCCGGTGTCTCCTCCCCTTCCGCATACGTCATTTTCGTTGTTTCCTTACTTTCGCTGACAGAGGGGCTTTGCTCACAGTGAGGTCTGCAGACGCTTTTGCTCTGGTTTGGACTGACTGAGCGGGAGTTTGTTTCTGGAATCCGTGTGTTCCACAGAGCCGTCCAGGGAGCTGCGCTCCATGCTGCAGCATCTCCTGGACATGCTGCCCGCGCTGTCCGTCTCGGGCTCCGGCCGAGACAGCGCCATCAATCTGCTGGTTAAGCAGGTACCCCGCAAGTCGCAGAAGGACCCCAACAATTCGCTCACGCTGTGGGTGATCGACCAAGGTGAGGGTCGTCTCCTGCGCCTGCTAATCAAGTGGGATATTTAATACGATGCATTTTCACAAGTCTGCAGTGACATTGTGCTTTACGTTATAGATGCGCTTTACATTATAGATGCGCTTTATGTTGTAGATACGCTTTACGTTACAGATTTCACAGACAGCCAATAAACCGTAAAGGTAAAGGGGGGAAAAGGGAAACGAGATCCCTTGTAAGGAAGAAATACTTTTGGAAAATCATCTGAGTAAATGGGCTGTTGATAGTATTCATGGGAATCAGTGGGAATGTTTTGGTCACGGTTGGTCACTAGGTGTTGATAATCAGTCTGTTTATCTACTAGTAAGAAGCAGAATGGTGGAGGGGACTTGATGCTGACCTTTGGGTCACGAGACAGAGATGGGTCCAGGCTATCTAGACATCTGTCACTGTCCATCGCCTGTTTTCTGTTCTTGTTGGTCTTCCAACAAGTTCTTTCTTCACTCAGGGCTCAAGAAGATCCTCGAGGTAGCGGGAACCATCCCCGAGGTCTCAGGCGGGCCCCCGCTCTCTGATAACACTCACATGAGCTGCTCTGTCCTACTGAACAAGCTGTATGACGACCTGAAGGGAGACAAAGAGCGGGAGAATTTCAGCCGTCTCTGCGAGGAATACGTCCAGTTGAGTACTGTGGCCGTGGGACGGGGGGGGGAGAGAGGAGGCATCGTCTGGTTGACTTTGTTGTTGTTTTTGATCAGGCAGCATTTTGGTAGCTCAGCCCTTGACCGCAAGCTGCGCGCCATTCAGACTGTCTCAGCACTGCTACAGGGACCCAGCGACGTCGGCAACCGCTGCCTGGAGCTGTCCGGCGTCATGGATGCCATCATCTCCCAGTGTGGCTCTCACAACCTGGTCCACCAGCAGGTGGCAGTGGAGGCCCTCATCCATGCAGCCGGCAAGGCCAAGAGGGCCTCCTTCATCACGGCCAATGGCGTGGCTCTGCTGAAGGACCTTTACAAAAAGAGTGAGAATGATGGCATCCGAGTGCGGGCCTTAGTGGTGAGTGCAGGCCCTGCCCCAGGCCCCCACCTTCAAGAGGAGAAGAAATCGCACACTGAGGTTCTGTGTGTCTGCTGCAGGGCCTGTGCAAGCTGGGCTCAGCCGGAGGGACCGACTTCAGCATGAAGCAGTTTGCAGAGGGGTCAACGCTGAAGCTGGCCAAGCAGAGCAGGAAGTAGGGCACCGCTTCGCCGCTCACCTGCAGCGTAGGGGGCCGCCTCTCACCCCCCGCGGAACCGCTGCCCTTGCTGATGCGGAACCTCCCCGGTGCAGGTGGCTGTGCAACGAGTCCCTGCCTGCAAGCTCTCGGCGGTGGGCGATCGAGGGTCTGGCGTACCTCACCTTCGACGCGGACGTGAAGGAGGAGCTGGTGGAGGATAAACAGGCTCTGCAGGCCATGTTCCAGCTGGCTAAGGTGGCTGAGCTCTTACACGCAGAGAGGCAGACGGGGCGCAGAGAGGGGCAGACGGGGCGCAGAGAGGGGCAGACGGGGCGCAGAGAGGGGCAGACAGACGGATGCACACATAGAGACACACACTCACTCACACCGACAGATGTTTACATACAAACTCACACAAACCGATGCTTGCACACACAGACACACAAACACACACACTTGCACAGACTGACAGACAGACACACATACACACTCCATCCTAGACTTATACACTCAGTTTCTGACTTTGGTTGATAGTAAACAAGCAAGTTCTGAGTTTCCTGGCATTTCTGTGTGGGTAACAGCCAGTGTGCAGTCAGTCGTTTTACACATGATGCCTGCGTGTGCAGTCTGACGACAAGACGGTGCTGTTTGCGGTGAGCTCCACGCTGGTGAACTGCACCAACAGCTACGACGTGGAGAAGCCTGACCCCCAGCTGGTGGAGCTGGCCAAGTACGCAAAGCAGCACATCCCTGAGGAGCACCCTAAGGTGCGTGTCCACCCATGGGGATCTCCGCTGGGCCTCTGTGTCCCTGTATCTCCGTCCTGGACACGGCGTGTGTGTGTGTGTGTGTGCATTTCAGGATGCGCAGTCGTTCGTACAGCAGCGCCTGGCCAAGCTGCTGGGGGCCGGTGTGGTGTCTGCGCTGGTGTGCATGGTGAAACAGGAGAGCCCCGCCCTCACCGACGCGTGCCGGGAGTGCATCAGCAGGTTAGGCTGCCGGCAGGCCTCACCAGATGATAAACCCTCAGTTTGGGAGTCCGTCCTTGTTCTCGAGTTCTCTAGAGATATCTCTACACAACCGAAGCTGTCCCTTCTCTCCCTCTCTTGCTCACTCTGTCCGTAACACTCTAACTCCCTCTGCAGGGTTTTCTTGGCTGTGGTTGAAAGGCAGGAGGACAGAGGCACTGTGGTGGCCCAGGGGGGCGGGAAGGTAAGTGTGCCGCAGCTCTGTCTCATCCCGGAAGATGTTACCCATGACCTGGTGAGTGCAGTGCTGGGTCTCCTGTCCTCCAGGCCCTGATTCCGTTGGCGTCTGAGGGCACGGATGTGGGAAAGATCAAGGCCGCACAGTCTCTGGCCAAAATCGCCATCACGTCCAATCCGGAGATTGCCTTCCCTGGAGAAAGAGTGAGTGCACGGTGACTGGCATCTCCTAGGAGTGTGTGTGTGCGTGTGTGTGTGTGTGTAGGAGGGCAGAATCGACTCCAGTGTGTGTCTCAAGAGCATGTAATGAAGAGTACGACCTGGTCCAGAGACCACGAGTGTGTGTGAGGACCCCTACTCAGGACTGCCCCCTGCAGGTCTATGAGGTGGTGCGGCCGCTGGTGAACCTGCTGAAGCTGGAATGCACCCTGCTGCAGAACTTTGAGGCCCTGATGGCGCTGACCAACCTGGCGGGCGTCAGTGAGAGGCTCAGGTCGGTCGCTGCCTGTCCGCTGGCATCCGTACTGCGTCAGTGCGACTGCATAAGCTGTTTGGTGCGACTGCATCAGCTGTTTGGTGCGACTGCATCAGCTGTTTGGTGCGACTGCATCAGCTGTTTGGTGCGACTGCATAAGCTGTTTGGTGCGACTGCATAAGCTGCAGCATCCAGTGTTTATACAATAACACATTTTCCATTCCTCTCACTTCACCTTCACGCTGCTTCTCATATTCACTGTAATAGCAGTTTACGTGAATTAATGAGTTTTTGAGAGTATTGAAATGAACATTATTGTGTTTTATTACTGTTTGATCGCAGTGGTAGATAAGCACTTTCTCACTGTTTCTGGGGCTGATTAATTTTACTCTGAGGAGTAAAGCTGGAAGGTGCAGCTGAGGGCATTACATAAATACGCAAGGAAACTGGCGGAAGCTGAGGTCTCTTAATATTCCAAGTGGAAACACGCCGATGTGCAGAACACAAGCATTTTTACAGTCTGCAGATTTCCACATGATGTTGGCATGAGACTGTTCAGAGGCAGTAATCTAATAGTTCATTAACAGATTTTTTTTGCCGTTTTCTGACATCTAGGGGGTTAAACGAGAATATTAAACAATATTTTGCAAGGGTAGTCACAGCTGGGTAAGGTGGGCCCCCCACCGGCTTGGGTTATCGTTAATAAAACCTAAAGGTGTGAGAAAACACTTGGATATGAAAAGAGAATAAAGAGCTACAGCTAAGTGAGCTACAAATAATGCTTCAGAAAGTAGCTAAATTTAAAAAAAAAAAAAAAAAAAAAAACAAAGCTATAAAAGACTGTGCTGGCCTTTGCTCATTCTGTCTCCTCACCCCCAGGCAGAAGATTATCAAGGAGAAGGCCGTGCCGAAAGTGGAGGGCTACATGTTCGAGGACCATGCGCTTGTCCGTGCTGCAGCCACTGAGTGCATGTGTAACCTGGTCCTGAGCACGGAGGTGAGTTCTGCAAATTTCGGGAACAAACTGCTCCACCTACTGTTATGATCCACTCTTAAGGGAGCAGTAGTTGGCCCAAAGCAGTGATTAGCCTAGCTGTAGCGTAATAGTCATTTATGGCTGGCCAAATGAGGCGTGACACCAGGGTTATAGAGCAGGCGTGTTCTACAAAGGCCCTGGCGTGGACAGACTCTGATTGGCTGCTGACGTCCTCCACAGGTTCAGAAGCTGTTCGTTGCCACGGGTAACGACCGTCTGAAGTTGCTGGTGCTGTACAGTGGGGAGGATGACGACAGGCTGAGGAAGGCTGCCGCAGGCACGCTGGCCATGCTGACCTCAGAGCAGCCGGAGCTTTGCAGCCGCATCCCCGACACGGTGAGCCGCCGGCACGGCCCGCAGATGCGGACGCGCAGGAACGATGGGAGGCAGTGCGGCTTTGAGACGTGGGCTGGGCGACGGGCGTAGGCAACAAGGGGTAAACTTGCATATGATAATCCCACTGTCGATTGGACACAGAAGGCCACGTGACCCCTGGTGCTCTCTCCTGCCCCCTACAGACGAGCCACTGGCTTGAGATCCTGCAGTCTCTGCTGCTCAACGACAACGTGGAGCTGCAGCTGCGAGGAGCCGTCATCACCCACAACATGATGCAGGCCGAGCGCAGCCTGGCTGAGCAGCTCATGGACAGCGAGGCCCTGGAGATCCTCTCAGTCCTGGCCAAGGGGGGAGCCCCGGGACAGGGCCCCGTCGCCAGAACAGCCAAGCAGTGCCTAGATGTGGCGCTGGAATACGGCTTCATCAAAAGCACTGGCGGCCAGGGGGAGGGGGGCCATTCTGCCGAGCCCTAACGCCATGGGGCTGGGCTGGGCCGGGCATGACAGCACGTCACATGACACACGACTTCCATGAAGTGTAGCCCGAACTATTTATATTCACTTTGTTTCTCATCACAGGTTCTGAAGCTAAAATGAGACCAAATTTGTTGCCTCTGCTGCTCACACACTGTCGGTTTTCCATTGTCTTTTGCATTCCAAAGTCCCTTTTCTACTTCCCAGTGGAATACGATGCTTCACTTGAAAGCAATGCAAAGCAGAATATGTATGTAGCTTAGGCTACTGGGGCTACCTGTGCCTTTTTAGAAGTATTTTTTAAGTCCAGCACAATTCCATTGTTTTTAAATAATTAACTGTAAACAGATATTATCATTGCACTAATAAATAATTATCTAAATCTTACTATTGTTTTTAATATTCTTTGTTTTTAATACTGTATTCTGTGCTAAAATATGATATTCAGTAATATATATCAGGGATGGAGTGAATGGTTTGTACCCTGTGTTCCACGCGATGAGCTACACGCCTCTGTCCAGGATCAGCGTTTGGTAAATGGATGGACGGATTGATGCTTTGGACTTTTAAAAGAGTGCCTGCGACTTTAAGGGAATAGGCCTCCCCAATGCGCATGCTCCGGGGTAAATGTCGTCCAATGGTACCTGGGTCTCAGATGGGCTGGTTCGGCTTCGGCTTTAATGCCTTCGGACAGATCCCTGAAGCCGCAAAATGCGAGGGGAAAGAGGGAACGGGACAAAACGCCGAAGTCAAAGTTATAGTTCCCGTCAAGATCGCCTGCTGCGATTTGGATCGGCAGCCTAAGCGTGAAAGTGAGCATGGGGCTGTAAACACGGGATCGAGACTCGTCCAGATCAGAGCCAGCTGGAGCCGAAGAGCTACCCTGCACCTTGGAGGTGAATACCCGTCTCCATTTAATTTTTTCATTTGTTCTTGTCATCGCAAAACGTTTGAATTTAATCCATCTCCACAAAGACTTATCCAGTTACGTTGACGAGCAATGCAGCGCAGGCTTTAATGAGACGTCGCTTCCACTGCAGCCGCAGGGTAGCCTGCTTTCACACATCTGGCGTGACACTCCAGCTTTCTGTCACTGTCGCTCACTCACGAAATCTTATGGCATCTCACTTGCAGATGACGGCCATGTCTGTCTGTCCGGCTTCGGGACACCTGATCGCACTGGGCCTCACAGCGTGTCGCAGAGCCGCGGCTGTCGGGATGTGCAGGTCTCTGAAAGACACTTGACCTTAAGCTTCGCCGACCGGGTGGAGTGTTGGGCGCTGGAGGAAGTGGCTGGCGAGCCTGTCTGGAAGATGGACCATAGCCCTGCCAATGAGGCTGGTACTGTCTTCAACAAGTACGACTTTTCTTTATAGCTCATTATACAGGGTTGACCTTATTCTTAATTACTGTTCTGGTTGTTTGTCTCTTTTGCATTTGTCTGTGTTTGTAGGGCTCCCATCTGCTCTGCCTTTGGTTCCAGGAGGATATGTTGGCACAGCACCCCCGTTTTTTCATCCTTTGTCTCCACAGCTGCATGTCACCAGCCTGGCTTTGGGGCAGCAGCATGCTGTCTTACTGAGTGCCTCAGGGGGGGTCTTTACCTGGGGCTCAGGCAGGTGAGGTGCCATGGTGATGGGGTCTGATCCCGCTCTCACTCAGTGTACCCCGGGCCCAATATCTGCCCCTGATTTTCTTCCCGGAAGGGTTGACACTGGTGTGACTGCTCTGTCTTATGGTTCTGTTGACAGTCATGGTCAGCTAGGGCACGGCGAGCTGGTTGGGGAGACGGAGCCACGGGTGTTGGAGGCACTGTGGGGGATGGCTATGGCGGGGGTGGCAGCAGGGAACTGGCACTCCGTGTGCATCAGCGGTAAGCCCCTCCCGTAATAAGCTTCTTGGGCACTTAAGCTTTGGCTGACATTTATGGGTGTGTATTTCTGTGATGGCAGCGGGGGGCGATGTGTACACCTGGGGCTGGAACGAGAGCGGTCAGCTGGGGATGCCGGCCAGAGCGCTGAATGAGGCAAGGCGGCTCACAGGCCAGGATGGCGGTAAACCAGACAACTCTATCCACTCACTCTTATCCATGAGCCTGGCAGACGTGCTAATGAATGCGTCATATATAGCTGTCAGCATTGCATTACGTGTATTTGCACAAACCACTGCATTTATCATGCCTTGCATTTTCCCTTCTCAGTTGTGCATCTTTTTTCTTGTATTTATTCTCTGTCTGTAATTGTTAAATATCTATTGTCATGTCTCTAACAAGCTGAGCCAACTCATATTTCTGACCGGCCTTGTCCATGTGACAATAGTCTGATTTTGATTGTTTTAGCCATTTACTCTAAATAATTATCATTAGCAAATTGGGCTCCTGTCTTAGAGATTAGGGCTACCCCCTGCTGGAAAACCACTCTATCCAGTTCTTTAACTAGTAATTCTGAAGTCTGTCCTTTTTGTGGTGTCTTACTAGCCATGTGTGGTTCAATCTTGGTTAGCAACTCACTTGCAGTCAGATGGAGAAGAGGATGGCAGAGGGGTGTTCATTTCCATCCAGGCCTTTCCCGCCCTCGTTGACATCCCCGAGGACTCCGAGGTCACCAAGGTCAGCTGTGGGTCACGTCACACAGCAGCTGTCACAAGTAAGTAGCTTACATTAAGGTCATTGACATCCTAGTGAACCTGAGGGTTATTGGATGTTCTTGACTTTAATTTTGTTGTTTCAGAGACTGGTGATCTGTTTACATGGGGTTGGGGTAAGTTTTTTTTTTTTTTTTTTTATAAACGATTGAACAAGATATCATCAGTCTAGGTAATGTTCTTTTTGACAGGAAATTTACTGAAAGATAAAGTGTATATTAAGATGAAATGGTTTATTTCTATTAATATGTTACTGCAACAAATGTTGCCATTCACAAATGGCATTCATTAAATGAAGAGAGGATCATTTTGAAAATTCTTGACTGAAGTATTGCGCTTTGCACATTTCTCATCCAAACTGTTTCCTAGGTGATTATGGTCAGCTTGGACACGGTACCCCCCGCAGTTCGGACCAGCCACTGCGGGTTGACTACTTCTCCAATCAGGGACTGTGTGTTTTGGATGTCGTGTGTGGGCCTTGGAACACATTTGTGTGTGCAGTTGAAAGGGAGCCCTCACTCAGTTAATGACAAGGCATAGAGTCTCCCTGCAGAGATTACAAATGGCAAATCAGCACTGTGAGATGATTTCAGCTCCATTTAAATAAACAAGCTTAGCTCTACACAGTCAGCTGTGCTTGAAACAGTCCAGCTTAACATGGGCTAAAATTATCTTGGATTCAAGCCTACTTGTACAGTTTCAGTGACTAAGGTCAGTTTTGTAGAAGGAAAAATTCTGAAAGGTAAATTATATGTTAAATGGGTTCCAAATATCTGTCCTGTGTCATTTGGATCAGGGAAGCAGTATTATGTGTGAAATAAATATTGTGGGTTTCATTTTTGTAGATAATAAAGTTTCATGAGACTCAGAGAGCACATTCCAGTTTCTATGCTCTGGCTTACTTCACAGTCATCCAGGATTTGTGCATAATTGAAAGTCAGAAACCTGAGCAAGATGCATCAGTTGCCTTTTCAATCTGCACTCATGCACTGAAATCTATTTTTGTAACACAGATTTGTAACTTATTTAAACTTACTACAATTATTTAAAAGACACTTATAGTCAATACTCTTTCTTCCTAGATCATAGTAGATGTACACTAAAGGCAGATATCTAAAGCTCTGACTACATGAGTGCCACCCTGGAAAGGGAAACTGCTTGATCCTTCTTCTTCTTCTATTTTTTTTTAAAGAAATCCATCTCTTTCAAGCCGTAACGGCGTCCGCAACTTATCAATGATAAGTTCACACCTTCTAGCTAAACGCCGTATGTAGTTAATATGCGTAGAATATCACTTTCAGATTTCAGTAACACACGACTGATGCTGAGATCGCCGATAGTAGATACTGTATGCAAATTATATGTGCATAAGCATAACGTACTCGAAGCACGATTATTATTATTATTATTATTATTATTATTATTATTATTATTATTATTATTATTATTGGCGGACTTCAAGACAGGCATGTGATTAGCAACCTAAGGGGCCTTCCATTTGGAACGTCATCATAACGTGACAGCGCGTAGCCTGACCGTGGAAGAACTGTACCTCATTCATTCGGGTTTGTAATGATGTTATGTGTTCTGTTAACGGCATGTATTGGTCAGGCTATTAGGTAAATGTAAAACTCTCGTTTCTGAAACACCTGATATATCTAGATACATGGCAACGTGCGTGACTCAGCACTTTGTTTACAACGATCAGGACTTTGTTCGTCATGTCTGCCGGTCTGAACGATGCGGTAGATGCTCAAGACTGTCGAAGTTCGACAGTATGCTGAGGTCCGGATGGGCTGCGAAGATGAGCCAAGGAATGTTCCGCTACCACCTTGGTGATCTGCAAACTCGAATTCTGCCTGGTGGGTCACAGTTTGTAATTCAACTCAACATCAAACGCGGACAGGACAGACGGAAACCACAGGAAATTCTGAGTATTCGACAAAATTTCGACCCAAACCAGTTCAATTTCAATAAAATAAGTACAAATGAAGTTATCTTTGAGATGAGCAAAGAGAAAATAATTGAACCACATTCTGGTCCTCATCTGAAAGATGGAAGAGGACATTCCTGTCACGATTCATCTAAAAGTGGATTTGTCGGGATGCTTGTTGTGATTAATGTTAGTCCTTTGGAGTTTGGTCACTGTCTGTTTATTCCTAATCCAACGCAGTGCCTTCCTCAGATTTTAAGTGCTGCTACCATCCAAACTGGAATTGAATCTGTGCTCTTGAGCTGTGTTCCGGGATTTCGGGTGGGATTCAATAGCCTTGGGGGGTTTGCTTCAGTGAACCATCTACACCTTCATGGTTATTACTTAGATTATGAGCTGCGGATAGAATCTGCTCCATCTGAACCCCTAATTCCAGAAAAAGGATTCTATCGTCTAACCAAATTCCCATTTGGGTTTCTCTTTTACACTGAAGGTCTGGACTTGTCAGCAGTATCTTGTGATATTTGCCAACTGACTGACTATTTAGTGAGAAAGAACATTGCCCATAACCTCTTTTTTACCCGAGGCTGCTCACCAAGAATTGGTTTTCACCCAGACAGCGATCGATCTGGAGTGCGTGTTATTGTGTGGCCACGGATGTCTGTCTTTGGAGCCAAGGAAGAATCAGCATTCAATGTTGCCCTTTGTGAGCTTGCTGGACACCTGCCCTTTAAGAGCCAGGAGGAGTTTGACACTGCCACTGAAAATAATGTAAAACACATTATTCAGAAATATCTTCTTCCTGAGGAGGAATTTCTTCAGCTGCAGCTGGAGCTCATAGAACTATTTACACAATCCCTTATTTGAGGTGAAATCATATCAGGACTATGACGTTCCTTCGTTTTGTGGCTGTTGCCTTTATTTGTTTTCAGTGTTTTGTTTTTTCTTCACTCGCATTTTGATGCTCAGCCCAGCGGTCTGCACTTAAAGGGGCCTCTGAAAGTTGCAGTGCTCTGCCCAGCGGTCTGCACTAAAAGGGGCCCACCGAAAGCTGCAGTGCTCAGCCCAGCGGTCTGCACTAAAAGGGGCCCTCCGAAAGCTGCAGTGCTCAGCCCAGCGGTCTGCACTAAAAGGGGCCCTCCGAAAGCTGCAGTGCTCAGCCCAGCAGTCTGCTCGCTCC